TAATTGCTTTTCTTCTAGAGTAGATGGTGGTAATAAAATCTCTTTAAAAGGAGATAAAACCCCTCAGCTTCATTTGCTTTGTGCACACTTCACTTGCTTCAGGAGACGAGTGTAGATGAGTATAGGTATTCACAGCAGGAAGGAGGACCACTACCATTTTATGAAAGCAGTTTAGGTAAAAAACAACAACTTTTTTTAATGGTTTTTTTTTATTATTATTTTTAGGTTCCATATTGAGATGATTTAGCTAATTTTGCTAACAGGCTCGTTTTCATATTAGAGCTCCTCCATATCAATTCTTATTTTCAAGTTTCTGCACTGATTTAGGCTGAATTCCAAACAAATTATTATATCATTAAACGTGCTCTCATCCTGTTTATGTATAAATGATGACACACCAAAAACTAAAATATATTGAGATTTGTGAACAGTTTTGACTTTGGGACGATCCTGACATTGTCCGAAAGATCATGGATACTCGTTTCACTTGTGTGTGCGTGTTTACGTTTCTGTTAGCAAAATATCTTATGAACCACTAGACAAGTTAAAAAAAAATTAAAAAAAGGAAAAGTAATCTGGTACAAATTGGCAGCCACTTGTTGGAGTCAACTCTCTTTGCCTGTTAGTAAAATATTTCTGGAACCACTAAACTGATTTCAATGAAACTTTCACAAGTGACTTCCTGTTGGAGTGGATCTAATTCAAGGTTACAGCTCATCATCATTATGCAACACTAAAAAAAAGCCTTTACATTTGTCAATTTTTCAACTATTGAGCTAAATTTTATGTGTTAGAAGCTGAGAGTCAGTCACAACACATGCTCCAAGTCATTTTACAATATTGCAATGAGATTGTGCATATTGTTATTTTTAAGACTTGACTAAAATCTCTCCGTCTTTTCTCAACATTAGATGCTCTTGGTTTAAAACTCTTACATAAACCTAGCATTCAAATAATGCTATTACTTTATTGTGTGAATGTTTATGAAGCATTCACACTGTTGTGTTCCATTTCTCTTCTGTACGTTTTTCGGCATCTTTCTTGTTCTATCGTTTTTGTGCTATTTCAACAAATCGTATCAAAACGTTCAGCTCTTTCAGGACAATCCTGCTGTGACTTGATATTGGTGCAACTTCAGTTTTTTGAAATTTTTAGTCTTCCATTTTTTTTCTCATAGAAACTGAATTGAGCTCATTTTACATCCTTCACATCTTTAGATCTGTTTACAACCTTTTACAGCTCCTTTCACATTTTGTTCTGGTTCAGCTTCTTTCAGCTTCCTTCTGCAAATTTAAACTGCTTTCAGCCATTTTCAGCTGTTTTTCAGCTGTTTTGTGCTCCTTTTATTATTTCTGCTAACCACAACATTTTTGTGCGTCTTCTAACTTCTTTCTGCTAATTTCAGCTTGTTATGCTCCTTTCAGCTTATTTATGCACGTTTCAACCTCTTCTGCTATTTCAGCTACTATTTAGCTTGTATGCTAATTTTAGCTTTTTCAGCTTATTCCACATTATTTGCACTCTTTTCAACTTTTAAGTAAGTGCCTACTTCAGCAAAAATGTGTTTTCTCCACTTCTGGTGATTTAAGCCTCTTTCTGCCTTTTTACATACTTTTCAGCTGTTTTTGCTTATTTCGACTTTTTCAGATAATTTTCACTATTTTGTGCTCATGTCTGCTTCTTTCAGCCTAATTGATTTCTTTATGGTAATTTCAGCTTATACTCCTTTAAGTTTTTTTTTCTGCTAGTTTCAGCTTTTTATACTCTTTCAGCTACTATTTAGCTCTTTGATTATGTTTTTAGCTTTTTCAGGTAATTCCACTTTTTTTGCTCATTTCAGCTCTTTCCGCTTCCTTGTGGTAGTTTAAACTTCTTTCTACCTTTTCAGCTACTTTTCAGTTCTTTTTTTTTTTTGCTAATTTCAGCCTTTTTAAGCTAATGTTCTATTTTTTGCACCCACTTCTATTCGTTTAAACCTAATTCTGAAAATATGTGTTCTTCCTGCTTTCTTCTGCTAAATTAGTCTCGTTCTTCCATTTCAGCTACATTTCAGAATGTTTTAGCCTATTTCAGCTGCTTTTCAGCAAGTTCTTTTACAATAAGCATTCACACTGCATTTTCACAGGAAATGCAATTTCTCTAATTTTATGTCTTTCATTTTATCTGAAAAAATTAAAAAAATAAAAAATACCATGTGTAATTCAAGCTATCTGTTCAGTTAGACGTGCTTCTAACCTGCAAATTTATAATCGACTGCTATTCCGTGAGATGGTGGCGCCTTTGTACAATTCAGAAACGTGTTTGTGCTAACATGTATGCCTATTTTGTTATGCTGAAACTTACAAAGAAAGCTTACCACTGTGCATGAGCGTCAATATTTACTAAAAGGATTTCAGGCCACATGCCTGAAATCCATGCCATTTTGTCAAGAATTCTTTCATAAAATAACTGGATCTGCTGTGAACAAAATATTTTTGTACAAGTAATAAAAAAAAACACCAGAGCATGTTTGCTGTTTGTGTTAGAAACCTGTGGTTTAAAAGTCCATCTGTCTGTCGAACCAGCCACCAAACCATTTTTAACCCACCTTTTCCTCTCCATGTCATGGGTCAGCTGGTGTCTATCTATCCAGCAGTCACTGTTCAAGAGACGTGGTGCACCCTGGACAGGTCGCAAGTCCATCACAGGGATACATAGAGAGACAAACAAACAGCCATTTACACTCTCACTCACTCCCGGCGACAAAACCGAGGAGTAAACCCATGTGTGTACAGGAAGAATATGTAAACTCCACCCTGAAAGGCACCAAGCCGGTGGTGGTCCTACGACTTTCTCATTGAGAGGCCCCCGCTCTAACCACTGCATCACCGTGCTGCCCTGGTCTAAAGTATTTTCTTTAAAATGTGTATTCATTAAATAATCAGCTCATACAAAATCTCAGTGAGTGTGTGTGTATGCGTGTGTGTCGAAGAAAGTTCAGTCCTCTATTATTTAAAGCTACTACAAGAGTGAATGCAAGTTTGCACTTGCTTGCTCACTCTTTCTCTACCAACTCACTTTGTTTTTAGAGTGAAGCGAAATGCGTGGGTTGACAACAAGACGAGCCAGTTTACTGTAAACCCTGTAATAAAAGTCATAATAAAAGTTGTAAAAAAGTTGTTTTTATTTGATTGATCAATGTCCTAAAGCAAGGCATGGTAAACTTGGCTGAAAAGCAGTGAGGTTAAACACGCTTCGAGCACAAAACACTCAACACCTATGGATAGAGAAGGGAAACTGAAAGCCAAGCAGGCGGACAGAAAGAGGTGGGGGGAATGATAGGGGAGAGGAGGACGTTGAGTGCCAGTCCTGGTAAGTTTTTGCGGAGGTGGAGGTAGACGGAAAGCAGTTGGCTGTTTAGACAGAATGATAACACAGGCTGGCTGACAGAATGCCTGATAAGCAGGCTGAATGTTAGATTTAGCACGGTTGCTGTGAAGTGAGTGAACCAGGCTAAAGGGACGGACATATGTGTAAAACTGAAGACACGACGCTCAGAACTCGTCAGATCATAACCGATGTAATTGTTCATAACCTTTCCACAAAACCCTACCTCAAAAGATCAAAATTACCCCTTTAAAATAATCTAGCATTCATATCATTGTGCCAATGTTCTATCAATAGACTTTTGTCTGACGTTGGCTTTTGTTATGTATTTACTCAACAGTGCTGATGTAATTTTGGGAACATTCTGGGAACCTGTCAGTTATATTCTGATGACTTGGCCTTTATGGGCAACAAGTCACGCTTCATTGCTGACAATATATATCCAAATAAACACATATAACAGATATCTATTCCAAGGTTGTTCTGGTTAATGTGTTGGTTATTTTGTGAGTTTAGATACATCTAAAAAAAAAAAAAAACTTTTTAAATGTTTTTAACGTTCTGTGTCAGTGCTCACCTAATATGCAGTTGTAATGCAAGCAGTCCAAGCATGCTTGATTGTGAAAACTGGTTCATGCATTTGTCACGTCTAGACTGGACTATTGCAATGGTTTGTTATCTGGGTGTCCAAAAACTTGTTTAAAATGTCTTCAATTGATCCAAAATGCTGCTTCCAGAGTCTTAACTGGAATTAGTAGAAGAGATCATATATCCCCAGTTTAAATTCTCTCCATTGGCTCCATGTCAAATTCAGAATAGAATTCAAAATCTTACTTCTAACCTACAAAGCTCTCAACAACCTAGCTCCATCTTATATTACAGATCTTATTGTTCCATATTTGCCTAACCGAGCACTTCGCTTTCAGACTGCAGGTTTACTTGCAGTTCCTAGAGTTTCCAAAAGCAGAATGGCAGGAAGATCTTTCAGTTATCAGACTCCTCTCTCGTGGAACCAACTTCCAGTTTCTGTCCGTGAGGCTGACACATTGTCCAGTTTTAAGACTGGGATTAAAACTTTCCTTTTTGATGAATCCTATAGTTAGTGTTGGCTTGTTATGCTGCTATAGGTTTAGACAACTGGAGGACAAACTGACCTCATTTCTTAAAATGAACGTGTGATTCTCGACCTGCCACTGTGTATCTGTTCCTCTCAAACCCAGCCGGTGGAAGCAGATGTCCACTTGTCCTGAGCCTGGTTCTGCTGGAGGTTTCTTCCTCATGAGGGAGTTTTTCCTGTTTCCACTGTCGCCTTCATGCTTGTTCAAGATGAGAGTTCTGTGATGGAGTTAAGCTCAAAGCAGTCTGCTCCTCAGATAATGTTATTAACTTATTTTTATATATACAATATGAATGTTTCTGTTCAGGTCCCTGAGATGACTTGTGTTGTGACTTGGTGCTATATAAATAAATTGAACTGAATTGAAATTGAAATTTGATTGTTCAGTTTCACTAAACATTCTAAAGAACCATTAATGGAACGGAGAGCTTCTGTACTAAATTATCTTTAGTTTGGCTGTTTTTATTTGTTTGCAGACATCTTTTTTTAACAAAACAATCTTTTTTCCTTGTTACAGGTAAACCCCAGTGTATTGAAAACTCAGAGCGGGTACAGCTGTCTGGGGCCTACAATGTTCGGAAAGGGAAACTCCAGTTGCCAGTCAACCGCTGGACCAAACGGCAGGTCATCCTCTGCGGGACCTGCCTCATTGTCTCCTCCATCAAAGAGAGCCAGATCGGGAAGATGCACATCCTCCCTCTCATCGGTGGAAAAGTATGTAAAAAGAAAACACACAACTGAAGAATGACATGTCACAAAACCTAATTTTCCCTGTTCATATTCAACCTTTACAGACTAGTCTCAATGAGCCACAAGGACTGACCATATGCATTATATAAAAGTTCTTTAACTTGTGTTCTGCATCATAAAGCCATAATGTCGTATTACCAGTACACAGACTTAATAGGTCATATTTTAACCCTCAGGACACGTGTCCATGTGTACTAACACACGTCACTTTAAATAACCGTTTGTCCTTTACTTTGTGTTTGAACATTGATGCTGCCTGCTTTGTTTGTTTTCGTTTAAATGCAGATAGTAGAAAAATGATAAATGCAAATGCAGATTTTTTTTTTTTTTTGCTTTTAGCAGGAATGTTTTGTTTATTTCTAATCTGAAGTCATCACACACTTTTAATTTTATGTGTAATGGAGCTTTTTATTTTTTTATCTAGCTAACTGAGAGTCTGTCTTGCTTCATTTGACCTTTATCTGTTGACTGATTTATGTGCATGTGTGCAAAATAAGCTCCAAGGGGTTTGTGGGAAAAGCATTATCTACTTGCATGCCTGGCACAAAGGACACTCTACCACACCCAGTTTCCAAACATTTCACACACCGCACGTGGTCACACATGTGTGTGTTTGTATGGGGTGAACTTGTGTGCTGGTGTTCTATTTAATCTCCATAACTGATCAGTTATTCACAGAGAAATGCTGGAGTGTGTGACTATGAATATTTAAAAAATGCTGTTTCGCCCATATTTGTCGCTGCTCATGTCACACACGTGCATTTATCATATGATCGTGTATGCCTTGCATATTTTTCATAGCTGCACTGGTGACTGAATGTCTTTACCCTGTTGACATTTAGTGGCTCCACTGAAACAACTTAATATAATCTCTTGGGGCATCTCTGTCAGCTTTGCCTCTCTTGTTTTATTTACCATTATTTTTGGATGTTGTCTGTTTGGTATTTTTATTTCTATTCTGCCCATGGTCAAATATGTCAGAATTTCAAACTACGACGTCACTCTTGTGTGTGCCTCGTTGCAGGTGGAGGAGGTGAAGAAGCACAATCACTGTTTGGCCTTCAGCTCAGCAGGGCCTCAAAGTCAAACCTACTACGTCAGCTTTGACAGCTTCACAGAGCACCTGCGCTGGCACAGACACGCTGCCAAGGTATTGTCTGTTTGTGAGAGAGTTCGAAAAGTAAGGAAGAACAAAAACATCTGGTTATTTGACACTTCTTGATTGTCAGTTGCATGTTCAGTTCTACACACATTGTGGCCACTGCTGTGTGACTAACAGGGCAGAAAACTGCAGATAAGTTTGCCAAGAAAAGATTGTGAGCACATAAACAAGAGTCATTCATTCCCTGAATGTGACTTGATGTTAAAATGAAGACAAAAACATTATCCAATTAAACTTATGACATACAAACTGCAGTAATGTTTAAGACTTTTTTGAACTTAAGTAGTATGATTGTTTTTGCAAACTTGTTGATCCTTGAAGAGCCAGTTTCTTTAAGTAAAGGCCTGGAAAATATAGCTTCTGTGAGATTATAACTTTTAGGAAGTGCATTAAAAGTACACAAAGTTAAACTATGCTACATAGAATTTTTTAAGATTCCACATGTTTATCAGTTCAAAATAGGATAAAAGGAACACATTTGGGTCTTTTACTTTAAACTTTTTGGCTTCTTAGCTGGGGAGATACCAACAAAAGGGCAGCATGCTGTCTTTAAAAACTTAGAAAGAAAAAAAAACGTTCAACAGCTTTAAAAATGTCTACATGGTAACATATAACTTAAGTATCCACTATTAAAATAAAACTACCTAAAGTAGATACTGTTAAAGCAAGGCCATTAAAATGTTACTTCCAAAATCCATCCATCCATCCACTGTCTTTACCAGCTTCTTCCTTTTCGGGTCGTGGGGGTCACTAGTGCCCATGTCCAGCAGTCACTGTGCGAGAGGCGGGGGACACCCTGAACAGGTCTCCAGGCAGTCCATCACAGAGACACATAGAGACAAATGAGACAAACAACCATTCACTCACTCATTCACACCTAGGGACAATTTAGTTACCAATCAGCCTAACATGCATGTTTTTGGTCTGTGGGAGGAAATTGGAGTACCTGGAGAAAACCCACGCATGCACGGAGAGAACATGCAAATTCCACCCAGAAAGGCCCCCGGACCAGGATTTGATTTATTTGATTTATTTATACAGGTTAGTCTCATTGAGCCTCGAGGACTCATTTACAAGAGAAGCCTGTTTTTAACAAAGAATGATGACAACAGTAGATAATCTTAAAAGAAGGCATATAAATTGAAAAAAAACAATAAATGGAAGAAAATTGTGAAAAAAAAAAAAAGCTACATTATAAAGCGAAATAAAATACTACAAACAGGAACATGTCTGCATTGGTTTTTGCCATGAACTTAGCAGTTGTTTGAAGCCAAGGTCGAGAGCTTCAGATCTTTTGGCAAGGTGTTCCAGGAAACAGGAGCGGAGTAGTAGAAGGCCCTTTTGCCTAGTTCAGTCTGCACTGAGGGAACACTGCAGGTAATAATGTCCTAAGAGTGCACGCTCTATAGCTGCACTCATGCAATGACATGTAGGAGGAGATGTATGAAGGCAGCAGACCAAGAAGTGATTTAAAGATGAAAATGGACCAGTGAGAGAGTCTCTATGAAGTTAATGATGACCAGTTAACCAGTGAATACAAGGTGCAGTGGTGGGTACGGTAGTTACAGCCAGTTGTGAATATTAGCACTCCATGATGGACAGCGTACAACATCTGTAGGGTGCTTTCAGGAGCGTTCATGTAAATAATGTCACAGTATTCAATGGAGGGAAGGAAAGTTGCAGTTACAACGTGTTTCCTAGCATTCAGAGTTAGACAAAATCTATTTCTGAAAGAGAAACCCAGTTTTTCATTCAGTTTCTTTAGATGCAAATTGACCAAGATACCCAAGTATTTTCAGGAATCAAAAAACTCAATAGGGACACCATTCAAAGATAAAATCGAGGGAAGAACTGCTGGGACCGACTCCCTGTTTGAAAATAACATCCCTTTGCTTTTGTCTGCGTTTAGTACAAGTTTGAGATGGAACAAATCTGACTGGATGATGTCAAAAGCAGATTGCAAAAGCTGGAAAACCTTAGCAACTTTTTTAGCTCGACAGTAAACAACTGTATCATCAGCATAGAAATGTAAGGATGCATCAGGGATGCTCTGACCTACATTACCTATGTAGATTGTGAAAATGGTGGGGCCTAAGACAGGACCTTGTGGTACACCATTGTTAGCAGTTAAATAACTGGAAGAAGTACCATTAAGTTTAACACATTGGTCAAGGTTTTCTTTGTCATTCGCATCTCATGTGGTACATGAGGTGGAACGAAATTGTGTGCACAGGGTCCCAGTTACATCCAGCAAAGTATAAATTGTAAAAGAAAAACAGTAATAAGATCTAAGATATGAACTAAGAAATATGCTAAACTAAGAAAAACGCTAACACTTAATAGCGCAAAGCCAATACGCTGAACAACAGTACCATGGCTGCTGTTGCCTCGGATCTGAAAGATAGTTAGTGAACCAACCAATAGTGTGATCGGAGAAACCAGTTTCTGAGAGCTCATGACTTAAGATATCATGATCCACAGTGTCAAAAGCTTTAGACAGGTCTAAGTAAAGTGCAGCACAATAATACTTAGCATCCAGTGCTTCAACAACATCATTAAAAATCTTTATCGAAGCAGTCATTGTGCTGTGATAATAATAAATAAACAAATACACAAAAACTCATCCCTGATAACAACAACAAAACACTTTTTGCTTATCTCAACTGAACCTATGACTTTCTGCTTGTTGTGTACATTTTTAGGGTCATTCTGTGGGAACATGAAAATTAAAATGGAACAAAAGAAATTGTGAAACGTGGTAAAGACAACATTATGGTTTGGGCGAGTTTTGCTGTCTCAGCACTTTGAAGCCTAGATATTACTGAGTGATGAATACATTTTATGACATTTCACAGGAGGATTTCAGGGCTGCAGTTCATTACCTGGAGGTAATATAAAATTATGAGATGCAAAAACAAAATAGCACTTGGGGTTAGTGGGAGGCGGGGTAATAGTTGTTTTGAATTACCTCAACCCAAACGAGATGTGATATCATGAACCTGGATTGGCCAGAGGAAAACATAATTCAGTTTGTGGGTAGTGAGTTTAGTCAAACTGTGTTTGTTTAAAAGTTGAACTTGGATGAAGATTAGACCTCTTTATCAGAAATCTGATATCTGAAGACAGATCTGTAGTGTGCAAACGGTGTCTCTTGGTGCTCTCACACACATAAACACCACTCATGTCTCTCATTTGAACTCAAGTAGGGCATAGCCAGAAAACCTCTTTTCTAAGTATTAACATGGACATGCGTGTCACCGGCACCCAGAGGGCCACTCAGAATAGAAGCCTGGAAAGAGGCAGCACGTGCTGCAGTGATGACTGCTGAGCCTCAGGCTAGCTCCACTCCGAAAGGCTCAAGTTCACACACTGTAGGGTTTCTTCTTTAAGATGAAGTCGATGTGTATGCCGGTATTTTAGTTTCAGACTGCCGCTCATGTTTCTTAGAGTGCAGCCGAATGTGTCAAAAAACTTCCCTTAGATTGAACAATGTTGAAATGCATAATAATAATAATAATAATAATAATAAGTCTGTATCCGTGTGGGTTTTTCCTTAATGTCTTTTGACTCAAATCATAAAATCGACATTTAATGACATTTGACGCCCTATCATCAGAAAAACTGCTAGTTTTGTGTAGGTAATCCTGTTAAATTCTATTTTTTTATCCATTCTCTATTTTTCACCTTTCCTGTCTTCTTACTCTTCTCTCTTTTCATCCAGATGGTGTCACAGAGAATCAACTCTGTTGATCTGTCCTGCTGCAGTCTCGAACATCTTCCTCCCAACCTCTTCTACAGCCACGACCTCACCCACCTCAACTTTAAACACAACTTCCTGCCTGCAGACCAGCACCTTCAGCAGCTGCAAAGGTACAATTCAGTCATAGGCTAAATGCCAATGGGACCAAAAAAAGAAGGAATTATTGTTTGTTTGTTTCTGGGCTAAATGAACAACCTGAAATATTAAAGCCACTTTGTTCATGGTGAACATGTTTGGGCTTTATACTCACACCCACAGGTATTTCAAATTACCCAGCAATCAACTTGCAAATTACACAAATAGGAGGAAATATTTTAGACCATTTACAAAAAGCATAGATGAGCAAGAGTGGTACGTGTTAAGACAAGAAATAAATAATAAATTACCTCAGTTAGCCAACTTATCTCCTAAGTATCCTTCTCTTTAATGGTAAAATTGCATCTACTGTTTTATTCATTGACTGTCTGTCCTTATAACACAATTAACAAGAGATTAAAAATATTTTGTGAAAACAAAACTTGCTGTCTCACTCATCTCTGGGAGGAGATTGATATTATTTAAGTTTACAGGCCAGCGCTCACTTGCTAACGTGCCTGCTTTAAAACCTATCACATGAACAAAGTAAGCCATTATGGCTCAAGAAAACATTTTGTGGTCTTCAGCTGCATTGTTTTAGGTGATATGGACTTTGTGGTTTAAAAAGCTTAGCATAGCTTAACCCAACAGGAACTGGGATGAGCTCTTGTGCACGGAGCAAAGCGACAAGACGCTGTCACAGTGAGATTTCATTGGAAACAGCAGGTCATGGCTGGCTGATTTGGACAGGTTTCTCTTTCTATTTACAATCCATAGTCCTAAGCAGTCTAGAGCTTGAATCATTGGCACACATGGACCAAATGATAACGTCAGGGCTGTACCAGGCTAGCCCAAAAGATCCCAGAGCACAGAAGGATACACGAGTCTGCAGGGAAGCTTTTAATATTCCTGGCCTCTCTCACTCTGTCTCTCTGTGGTCACCATCTGCTGCATGCTTATCATGGTCCTAGATTAAAGACCACAGGCAAGATACTGTATACTGCATGTGTGGTCGTGTGTGTGTGTATGAGTACTTATACATGCACTTGTACACCTTCCATTGTCTCTTTGTAAAGATTAGTAGAAGTATGATATTTACCAAATAAATTGTGTAGATCTGGTGCCTGTGTTAGCTCTATGCAGAATGGAGTGTGTAAGAGCTGCTCGCTTGTATGCAACTGAAACTTTTGCTGCAGGTTACAGATTTAGGGTCAGTGCATAGAAAGTCTTAATACAGTATGACATTCTTTGTTTTAGCTCTTTTTTTTTTTTTTGTTTAATTTAGCTGCACTCTAGAAATTAGTGTTTGTACGGCTGTGCGTGTATAATCTTGCATGCGCCGTCTGCTGCATCTTCCAGATGAATGTGGTCAGGGTTTTATGCATCCCCGCCACAGTACTTTTATTTTGACTCATCTTTATTAAGGTTTTTTTTTGTAATCCTCAGGATAATGACTCGTGTTTAAAAGAAGATGACATAAGCAGAAACAACTAGTTTATAACTGAGTGAAGGCTGTGCTGCTCCCCTGCTGGTCAAGGGGAGATAGTATCTATTTAGCGTTGCCAAACCTAAGTAGGCTCATCCGCATTTGACCCAGCATGACAGAAAAGGAGGTCAGTAATGAGAAAGAGATGAATAGTTCTGCTGAAAATCGTGGGATCTTGACAGAAACATGCAGCACAGTTGAGTACCAGCTTTCCCCTGAGAAAGTTGTGTCAAAATAGCTGTAGTCAAGAACAATGCTACATTGCGTGTCACCTCGATGATGGTGGTTGTATGTGTGTTGGTGTGCACTGCAGTGTGAGAGCCTGCTCAGCCATGCTCAGTTTTTGGCTTTTGTTTTTTCAGTTTGAGGCTTGATGCCTTTCCCCTTCTCTTCTCTCTTTATCTTTTGGTCCAAATACAAACTAGTGGGTGATTTGCCAATCAGATATGCCTAATCAGCTTCCTAGTACCGGTATATTGGCTCTTTCCTCTAGTCTAGGACTTGCGTTCCCAACATGAATTTCGCTTTGAGACAGAGGTCACTCGTCAATTAGAGGAATGGCTAATGTTCTGTGCATGAAGTTGGACCTTTGGCCTGTTTTGTTTACACATGAATGATCGTTAAGGCTGCTTTGGTGAGCACAAATGTCATAGAATTGAAGAAGAAAAGACAGAGTGGTAGAAACGAGACAAATATACAGTAGATGATATAGGGCTGACCTGAGTGAAAGGATTAAAGTTTTACTGTCTTTCTGTTTGGGACTTGGCAGACTCTCTATTATGGGTTTATCAGAGATTTATCCAAAACAGAGCAGCTGCTCACAACAGCTATAAATGAAGCTGATAAATGTATAATTCTTGGCTGGACACTTGAAATAATGGTTATTTTAGGAGCAATTACCATACATTTCAGCTGAATAAGCTATAAACACAGTGTTAAATAACTATCTGCAATGATGTTTTTTACCCGTATTTAAACCTTCATTTAACCAGGAATGGGACTCTTGAGATTTAAAATCCCTTTTTTACAAGAGAGTCCTCGTCAAGACAGACAACAGCTTTAAACAACACTAATTATGACACATATAGGCATGTTTGATTAATGTAGACGTCACGTTAAACTAACAACAAGGTCATTAAAACTGACCATTTGCTATTAAAAAGGCAATTAAGTAAATATCAATTTCCTGTGGGATCAGTAAAGTTCTATCTTATCTTATTTTATTTATTTATTTATTTATTTTTTTTTTCATTCATTCATTCATTTAAAAAGATGAATTCCTTAAGCTTCAGGTAGTTTTAGTGTTTTCACCTGTTACATTTTTAGTTCAAATGAGGATTGTAGCAGCTATATTTACAGATTTTTGGTCAGGGTCCTTTCTGGGTGGAGTTCGCATGTTCTCTCTGTGCATGCGTGGGTTTTCCCCAGATACTCTTGTCTCCTTCCACAATCCAAAATGTGCATGTTAGGCTGATTGGTAACTCTAAATTGTCCCTAGATGTGAGTGAGAGAGTGAATGGTTGTTTGTTTCTTCTGTGTCTATGTGGCCCTGTGATGGTCATTGCGTATTCCATCTCCTGCACCATGGACATGGGCACCAGTGACCTGGAAAGGAAGAAGCAGGTAAAATAATGGATGGATGATTCTTTTTGCCCTGTAAAAGCATCTTAGAGAAATATCTGGGTCTCAGTTATTCACAGATTTTGTCTTTTCCACTTTTATCACAGTGTTTACTTGTTTTGTTAAATGCAAAAAAGGCAGCAGAACAAAAGGTTAATGAGGGTCAAAAAGTGTCTGGATAAATCCCCACTTGGCTGTCATTTGCCTTTCAGACAGAAATTACTGTCACTGGAGTATGAATGTATGTGTATGTATATGTATGTATGTATGTGTGCGTGTGTGCATGTGTGTATGTATATATACACATTCACACAACTAAACAAGGCTAAAAAGCACAACTATAAAATAATCAAATAGTTAAAGATATTCATAGTTATCCTATATCCAAAGCTTTATTTTAGTTTTAGTTTTGATTGCTGTCTTTATAGATTAATAAAGGTTAAAAAAGCCCTGAGCCAAAGCTGAGTCTGAAACTAAATATGTAGGAAATTAAAAACATATTGAATCTTATTAGTACTCTATAACTCGTTTAGATCTGAACAATGACCATGTGCCCAATTTATTCAATTTTCATAAATCAGACACAGAATCTAAATACAGGTTTACCCTTGCTTAGTTTGAACAAGTCAATTCAATGGAAAATATCCCCCCACTGAAGGCAGGGGTCACCCTCAGTTGGAATTGCTCAGCCAACCTAATCAATAATTCTGGCATCTTGGTTATCTCCATCATCATAATCCACTGTGCGAATGTGTGCATAGCTTGTGTACATAGTGTAAAAAAATCAAGGGTTTGCATCAGCAGCTGCTCCTGTGTGGAGTCCTGCACTGCTCTCTCAGTGACAGATGATAAAAGGTTGTGTGTGTAGATGGATAAATAGAGTTGTTTTGCACAGTTCACTTTGTTTTTTGCTCTCCCTCCTCCCTGAGGGTCCAACTCTTGTGAAGGTTGGTAGTATGCCATAGGAGGGCACACTGTCTGAATGCCACTGGCTCCTGGTGTTTTAATGAACAACACTGGCACACGTGCACTGCTTGTTTGCTCAACAACCAAATATGAAGGTTTGGCATCATTAGGACAGCTTTGACTCTTGTTGTGCTTAGTCCAAAAGTGGGTTGTAGGCAACACTTTCCTTCAGTACTCATGAATGTATTCATGAGTATGTTATACCCACTTGCAGTATTAATGTTTACAAGATGCGAGCATGTGCTTTAATTATATTTCTCTCCTCCATCTCTTCGTCTCCAGGTTTTCTCGTCTTCGCAGCCTCAACCTGTCCAACAACCACCTCGGTCAGTTCCCACTGGCCATCTGTGACATCCCCACCCTGACGGAGGTCAACCTCAGCTGTAACTACCTGGCTTCAGTCCCCAGCTCTGTGGGAGCCATGACCAAGTATGTAACAACAGTGGTAAACACAAAACAAATTGGAGAATTTAAACAATGACTGAAAGCCAAGAAAATTATTTGTTTTCTTCCTGTTGCCTCAGAGACTTCCTGTACCTGATTTAGCAGGTTTAGTGGAGTTTTTAACTTTTTGTTTTGTGTTTTTTGTTCTACTTTCTGTTTTTAGCTGCTTGACATGCAAGTAATTTCCCAACTCTATCACAGATCCTTTCTGCTAACAGGAGTCAGTGTTTGTTTGCATTGATGTACAGTAGACTCAGGGCTAGGTGACCATGAAGTCTTTTGAACAACGGACCACATTATAACCTGTTTCAGTGAGAAACGGTTACACAGCCAAATGTGGGAGTTACCTTGCAGAAAAAAAGTACTTTGCTTGTTTCAGTTTATAAGCAAACATCATAGTTTGCCAAGTGTATGAGTTTCACAAGTGACAGTTTACCTCAGTAATGGAGTGTTGTCTTAGGACAGACCAGACTGGAAAGGATGTGCAGTGAGTTACTGTAAGCTTATTGAAGATGGAAGTGGTATTGTTTTAACAAAGGGGGGGGGGGGCGATGAGAAGGTGGAAAAAGATAAAGATGAAGAAAAGTAGAGGTCAAAGAAACTGATGCTGCTTTGTACCCTCTCAAAGACACAATAAAAAGTAAATTCATTTTGACCCATTAATTGTGTCTAATAAAATGGATCTAGGTTTTTATAAATTTCAGTACAATTTCTTCATTGTTGCCCTCCTTTCATGGTGGTGCGTCATCTTGCTATGTCCTTTGTCCATGTGTCTGGGATTGTATTGGTTTGTTTCTGTTAGCAAATTATCTCATGTACCTGTGTACCATGTACCAACCGATTATAAAGAAACTCGTAAAATAATCATTGGATGAGCATCTATAACTGATTAGTTTTTAGAATGAGCTCCTTTCAAGATGGCCACCATAGTTAACTGAGCTTAGCAAACACAAAAATGGCTAGAACTCAGTCAATTGTACAGACGTTGAGCTACAATTTGGTGTGGTAGTTGTTGAGAGTCATCCCCAACACATAATCAGATTAAGCAAGATTTTAATTGAAATACTAGCATGCAAGGAGGGCAGGCAATATCCATTACTTCAAAGATTGCTAGTTTAATTTATTTATTTTAATTTATATTTTTACTTTTGTCAGTTTTTAGATACAGTGCAGTATAATCTCACTCCATCTATATTTGGAAAAATATTTCTTGAAAACAATCTTTTTAATATCAACTAAAGTCTACATTATTTGGGTTTTTTACCCCACCAATATTTGGGATAATGGGAGTTATTTAGTATTTAGATCAGTGCTGACAATTTGATTGTGCATGTCCTTGAAATTCTGACCTCATTTGAAACCAGACTCACTGGTATGCAGGGTTGAGAGTGGTCAAGATGAGAAGATAATCTGCACATCTCATCTGGTATGCCTGTAAATTCCTGAAGTCGCCAGTAGGGTATCAGTTTTGCTGCTGCCATCTGCTGGACATTAATTTGACTGATTATGGATTCAGAACCCTTTTACTTTAGGAGACTAATAAGGACATTTATTCTTGTCTCAGTTTGCAGACCTTCCTGTTGGATGGCAACAGTCTGAGTGACCTGCCTGCTGAGCTGGGTTCCCTGCAGAGGCTGAGCTATTTAGGCCTGTCCTTCAACCACTTCGACCACGTGCCACAGGTGCTTGAGCGGCTGCCCTCCATGGAGAAGCTTTGCATGGCCGGTAACCATCTGGAGACACTCACCCTGCAGAATTTCAGGCTGCTTCACGTCAAACACATTGATCTAAGGTATGAGACTGCACACTCACACACTTACTTAACAAGTTATTGTTAGCGCAGCTGACATTCTATTAATGGTCGCTGTCAACTTGGTCTTCAGAACACGCTGCACTTAAATCACTGGCCATGCTTGTACTTACCACTGCACTCACTGACACTTTATTTGACTAATTATGGGAGAGAAAAACACTCTGAGGAGGCTGTCACACAACCAGACTGTTAAACAGCACAAAATCAAGTAATCATTTGCCTGCAGTGGCCCCATCAGGTGTCTTCTCATTGTCTGGGAAAACACTGAGCTGGAATGACTTGCACTATTTTATTGTTAATGCTTTACTCAATTCCACTTGGCTTGAAGAAGCATAAAAGTTTGCATTAAAATATATCGTATTTTCTGGCCTATAAGTCACAGCTTTTTGCATAATTTGCATACCCTGTGACTTATACGCCAAAGCGACATATTTATGGATTTTTCCCATATTTATAAACCAATTTTTGGCTGAGACATGACTGTTTTCATTCATTCTGACATTGAAAATATTGAACACTACCATTTTCAGCCGCTAGATGGCACTCGAGTAGTATGGTATGCCGTTGTGTCATGTAGTAGGTAAAAGTGGCTGTTAATGACACAATCAGTTTGCCGTACCCTGCCACCTTTGTCCAGCTGGAGCAACTGTCAAATCAGCTTCATTTCCCCACGCCGCCCTGGCAAAATGCAGCTAATTTGACCATTGAAGTACATTTATTAAGTCAAAGTTCAACTGAGACACACCTTTCTGTAATGTCAAGCAAACAAATAATTGTTTTAGGTGCTTATCTTGTTACATTTTGAAGAAATGCGCATCGCGCAGCGTTCCTCCTTCCTTATTTCCTCCTTCTGCGCACTCCCGGAGCAACAAGGCTACAAATACTTTTGAAATACAGCTGATTTGACTGTTAAAGTCCTTTTATTAAGGAAAAGTTCTAATGAGGCACACCTTTACTATAATTTTGAGCAAACAAATAATTGTTTTTAGGTGTTTATCTCGTTAAATTTTGAAGGAATGCACAGCGAGTCGTCCATCTGTGCGCTCCCGCTTCCGCAAATCGGCTTTTGAAATGCAACTGATTTACCATACCATACCATACCAATTTATTTATATAGCACTTAAAACAGCAACAAGGCCAACCAAAGTGCTGTACAAAATAACCAAACATGCACAGCAGACAGGAAAACATAAAATAGAAATACAGATACAAATAGCAGCAGAAGCTAACTAAAATGGCCAACAGAGTAGAGAACAGACCGGACCAAAACAAATCACACCGTGTTAAAGGCAAGCGAATAGAAGTGGGTCTTCAAGCGAGACTTAAAGACTGAGAGTGTGGGAGCCTGCCGGACACTCAGTGGCAACTCATTCCACAGTCGTGGACCTGCAACAGAGAAAGCCCTGTCACCTCTGAGCTTACGACGGGTTTCTGGGACTGAGAGAAGCATCTGGTCTGCTGACCTCAGAGAGCGCGGTGGGACATATGGCTGCAGAAGATCAGTGAGATAGGATGGGGCGGAACTGTTCAGTGATTTAAAAACATACATGAGAATTTTGAAATGGATCCGAAGGTGAATGGGTAGCCAGTGCAGGGAGGCCAAAACTGGCGTGATGTGCTCTCTATAGCCTGTACCAGTTAAAAATCGGGCTGCAGCATTTTGGACCAGTTGTAGACGAGCAATGGAGGACTGACTGATTCCAAACAGAAGTGAATTGCAGTAATCAAGCCTAGATGTTATGAAGGCGTGGATCACTGTCTCGAGGTTCTTTTTGGAGAGTATAGGCTTCAGCTTAGACAGCCGTCTCAGCTGAAAAAAACAGGATTTGACCATCATGTTTTCTGACTGTTGAGTTTTAAGGACGGGTCCATTATCACCCCCAGATTAGTCACCTTTTGTTTCTCTAGCGGGGCTAGAGAGAAAAGGTCAATGTCATGGTTCATGAGTGAGCCACTGGGATGGAACAGCATGACTTCAGACTTCTTCTCATTGAAGCTTAAGAAGTTTAAAGCCATCCAGTCCCGGATGTCAGCCAGGCAGTCAAGAAGAGGCTGAATAGAGCGTGTGCCTCTGTGCCTCAGGGGGAAGTAAATTTGGCAATCATCGGCATAGAAATGAAAGGGTATGTCGTGTTTGCGGAAGATAGCACCTAGTGGCAGCAGGTATAAAGAAAAGAGAAGGGGACCGAGGATGGACCCCTGCGGTACCCCCCACTGGAGTGCGGTCGATGCCGAACTAAAATCTTTGATATTGACACAGAAGGTTCTGTCAGAGAGGTAGGACCCAAACCATTTAAGGGCTGACCCTGTGATGCCCACCCACTGCTCCAGTCTAGAAATGAGGATATTGTGGTCGATGGTGTCAAAAGCAGATGTAAGGTCCAATAGGACAAGCAGCACAGAATCACCTGCGTCTGTGGATATGAAAATGTCATTAAAAACCTTCAGTAGAGCAGTTTCAGTGCTATGGAGAGATTTGAAGCCAGATTGGAATAACTCAAGGATAGCGTGATCCCCAAAAACTGTTTCAACTGAGACTCCACAATTTTTTCCAGTAGTTTAGAGGTGAATGGGAGTCTGGAGACAGGCCAGAAGTTGGACATGACTGAGGGGTCAAGGTTAGGTTTTTTCAGGAGGGGCTCGACAGCAGCATGTTTAAAAGTCTTTGGCACCACACCTGAGGATTTGATCGTCAGAGTGTATTTATTAAGCAAAAGTTAGACGGAGACACACATTTACTATAATTTCGAGCAAACAAATAATCATTTTTAAGCGTTAATCTTGTTAAATTCTTGTTAAAGTCCTCCTGTGCACGCTCCAGCGGCTGCCATTTGGCAGCCAATCGATTTTTGGTATAACGCCGGCCCACATTTCTGAGTTGTCAGCGGTGACGTGTAACAAACGCGACGTGCCATTAGTGACGCATAATAAATGCAACTTATATGGCGAAGCAACATATTTATGGATTTTTCCAAATTATTAGACATTTTTTGACAGATGCGACTTATAGGCTGGAAAATACGGTATATATCATTTGGTAACTGCTATGGGCTTTTGCTTCAGATTTTTTTTCTCGAAAATGTTTAAATAATTTGAAACCTCTGAGCTCTAAACTAATGATCTACTTGGAGTTGAACCTTTGCCTCGTCTCCACCTGCTCTGCTAGGTTGAATAAGATCTCCGTCATGGTGCCGGACGAGCCTGAGCTGCTGAGGCATGTCACCCAGCTGGACGTGAGGGATAACAGGCTGATGGAATTGGACGCCTCTGTCTTTCCCCGGCTGGAGATTCTTCACTGCGAGAGGAACCGCATCACCAGTCTCAAAGTCAAGGGTTGCTTGCTCAAAGGCATCTACGCCTCCAACAACGGTGGGTGTTTCGCACAGGACTTGAGAGCACCCGCATCATCATCCATGGCTATAAATAAGAAAAGGAATTTACCATTCATTTCACCTGCAATTGACTTTCTCCTCTATAAACCTTGGATATAAACGTGTCCTCTTAAATGTTGCTCTCATGCTCCTCTGTTCGCATATGTCAATATCTCTCATCAATGCAGCCATCTAATTGTGTCTCTCCATCAATCCGTTCTAACTTGTCATCACTGATCTTCCCATTTTAAATAGTCTCCTTCTTCTTCTGTATTAGTCCGTCCTTGCTGTAGGTTAATTTGTTTGGATTTCTCTCCACAGAGGTAGGGCAGCTGGATGTCAACCCTGTGCCCTCCAATCTTACTTACATGGATATCTCGAGGTGAGAGTAACTCCTAAAGTATTTTTGTGTGTCACAAACAAGGAATGCATTATAAATTAAAGGTCAAGCATTGTTTTAAGGAATGCACATATAGCCCATCACCTTTCATGTCGTAGTTTTAAACTCTTACATCCTTTTATGCTGAGAAGTTTCCAGAGTTCTGGTCAAACCTCGGAAATGACGTTATGCACCGTCTCATGCGATGTAAGAGCTCGTGAGATGTGCTAGCACTGAGTGCTTGTGTTAGGAATAACAGCTACTACTACACAACATTTTATAGTAAGGGTTTTTGGAGTTGTACCATTTTTTGTTTAAATTATTTTAGCATTTTCTAAAGTTAGTTAGCTGTGGCGGACATCTTGAATATGGTTGACCCCCAAAAGTTCATCGGTTGTGGATGTACAACCAATGAATATATTCTGCAAGTTGTATTCAAATTTGTCCATTGGTTCATGAAATATCATGATAACAAAGACAAATGCACATTTACATTCACACAGAAAGCAAAAAACATTGTTTTGTCTTCAGTGAGGGTAAAAAAACAAAAAAAACAACTGATTTAGCGTTTTTACAGTAAAGGTATCTTTTCTTGATCTCATGTTTCCTAAAATCAAACCTGAAACTAAAGTGAAGAAATGTCTTCCAGATCAGACATATTAATAGTCAGTAGACAGCTATGGAAAGAGTGCTGATTCTTAAAATCTACTTTTATTTTAAAGGTTATACATAAGTGGCATTATGAAAGTCACACAATGAATAATCTTGAAGGATGTATAAAGTATATTTGAGTGTAACACAGCACTGCCGTGACCTCAATTATCTGAAGCTCGACTGTTATATAATACAGGAAAAGCTCTTCTGTTTGCGGTGCATTATATTCCATTTTTGGTAATTCAGTTTGTAAACCGCACATAATTCATCATCATCATCATCATCAACCCCTCTGCAGGAACCGCATGGAGTCGTTGCCAGACTGGCTGTGCGAAGCTAAGAAACTGGAAGTCCTGGACGTGAGCCACAATCTCGTCACTGCGCTCCCGGCGAGGTAAGTTTCCCTCACAACGAACGTGCCTGTAAATGCAGAACAACACAGAATTATTCTCCCTGGCCTTTGTCAGGCATCCTATCTATCCCCCATAGAGCCTCATAAATCACACCGATAGCCTGTAACCTCCCGATCTTTCACACATTCTCCTTCCCTTTGTGTAGCATTTTAGAAGGTCACTTCAGATGCACCTCTTCCTCCACTGCTGTGTTCTGCATTGACTCTGTCAACCTTGCTCTCTTGGATTCTTTTCCTTTCTACCTATGGTCCCCCTCATTGCCTGGATTTTTTTTTTTTTTTTTACCCGATAAGTGTCAAGATGATAAATTTCACTCACAGCTTCCACTAGAGGCACTGCTACAGTTGGACTTCTATTCTTCTACATTTACAATCCAACTCCAATTTTCACCCCTTTTCAATATTTGTCTGCCTACCCTCATCTTTTTGTCCTGCCTTTTTTTTCCCTTCTATCTACTCCATGTATTTGACTATTTATCTATCTCCTGCCTTGCTTATCTTTTCACATTGCTCACCCACCATCTGTATCTCTCCTGTGCTGCAGGTTGTTCTGCAGCAACAGCCTGAGGAAGCTCAGTGCTGGACACAACCAGTTGCAGGAGCTGCCTGAAAGAGTGGAGCGCCCTCTGCTGGAGGTTTTAGACGTTCAGCATAATCAACTGGTGGAACTTCCCTGTAACCTGTTCCTCAAATCCGACAGGTAGCATAACTCATCAGTGGGAAGGGATGACCTATTTATGGAATGCGGCAAAAATCAAAAAAGATATATATTATTAAAAACCGGATAACTAAATGTAAGGATGGTAGGCAAATGCAAAACAAAGGAGATTAATTGATACATATTTATAACTGGAGTGACTTACCTCCGTTTGTTTGTATCCTTTTGTGAAAGAGAACAAAAACTGAGTGCGTATGTTTTCTTTTTTTGTCAGCCTGCGATGTGTGAACGCGTCAGCCAATAAACTGGAGCATTTGCCGCCATCCTGTCTGTCGGAGGAAAGCCACAGCATCTTGCAGGAACTCTATCTGACAAATAACTGGCTGACAGACAAGTGTGTGCCCATGCTTACAGGCCACACACACCTGCGAGTTTTGCACATGGCCTACAACCACCTTCAGACCTTCCCAGCCAGGTAAACGACCACTTTTCAATCTTTAAATGGCGGACGAGCAATCTCAACTCTCCCAACAGTTCAGTCGCACTTCAGCGCACCCATTTTATCCGTGTCTTTCAGTAAAATGGCCAAGTTAGAGGAGTTGGAGGAGGTTGACCTGAGTGGAAACATGCTGAAGACTGTTCCCACCACCATCATGAACTGTCGAAGAATGCACACGCTCATCGCCCACTCCAACGCCATCGAGGTTTTTCCTGAGGTCATGCAGCTGATGGAGATGAAAGTAAGTCGGCAGCAAGAAGGTGTCTCTCAGGTTGCGCAGCTCTCTGTGCAGATCTGTGACGTCTTGTCTTTTGTTGCCAGTGTGTGGATTTGAGCTGCAACGAGCTGAGTGAGATCACTCTGCCGGAGAATCTGCCTCCGAAGCTTCAGGAGCTGGACCTCACGGGCAACCCACGTCTGAACCTGGACCACAAGACCCTCGAGCAGCTTAAGTATGCTTTTGTTTTTCTGCAGGTCTTTCTGTTTTATAGATCTCTATTGTAGACTTATAAGTGTTACAAAACTATCCATTTTATTTTTATCTGTCTAACTGTATTTCCAATAAGTGTCATAGTTAAAAAAAAAAGTTAATTTAATTTGAAGTATCATGGACTATTCCCTGTAGATTATGAATCTTTTTGCCTCGACATAAGACAGTGATCTTGATCCGTTTCATTTCATTTATTTATTTGTCCTCCAGTAATATCCGCTGTTTTCGTATTGATCCACCTCCAACCTTTTCATCGAACGAGGCATCTGGTGGGCCTGCTGTGTGGAGTCATGGTTACACAGAGGCCTCGGGCGTGAAGAACAAGTAAGTTCTGTTCAGTGAGCAGAGGAAAAAGCAGCCCTCATCTCGTTCGCGTTTTGAATCCTCACTAATCTACAGCATGACTCTCATGAAGGAAGCGCTGCTGCTTTTAAGACATAAATCATTTACATTCACTTGATAAATTATAACTAGAAAACAAAAATATTTGAGTAGATCCACACATTTTGCAACACTTTTCACCCATGTAGGTGAGCCTCTATAAGCAAGTTTTCTATGATAATAAAGGTTGTTGCGTATTGTCAGATGAATCATGAAAAACGTTGTGGTCCAACAGTCCATTTCTTTTTAAGGCTCACAGAGCACACGCCTCTTGTTTCGTTTCTTTTTTTTCAGGCTCTGCGTTGCAGCTCTCTCAGTGAGCAGTTTCTGTGGGAGTCGTGAAGCCCTGTACGGTGTGTTTGATGGAGACAGGAACGTGGAAGTGCCCTACCTTCTGCAGTGCACAATGAACGACGTGCTGGCTGAAGAGCTACACAAGACGAAAAGTGAAGAGGATTACATGACCAACACCTTCCTTGTCATGCAAAGGTAAACAACAGACGTTGTAAACAACAGAGGTTGTAAACAACAGAGTTTGTAAACAACAGCATTGCCGTTTTTATTGTGTGAATGTTTATGAAGCATTCACACTATCGTGATCCTTTTTTCTTCTATACATTTTTTTTAGCATCTTTCTCATTCCACAGTTTTGCTCTGTTTCAACAAAGCATATATCAAAACGTTCAGCTCGTTCAGGAGAAGGGTGCTATGACTTTTGGTATTTGGTGCAACTTTAGCTTTTTGAAATATTTAACCTTTTCTGACACTTTTTTTCCTCATAGAAAATTAATTTAGCTCATTTTCCATCCTTCAAATATTTAGATCTGTTTACAACCTTTTACTGCTCCATTCACATTTTGTTCTGCTTCAACTTCTTTCAGCTTTCTTGTGCAAATTTAACAAATTTTCAGCTACTCTGCTAATTTCAGCTGTTTTTCCAGCTGTTTTGTGCTTCTTCTAACTTCTTGCTGCTAATTTCGGCTTGTTATGCTCCTTTCAGTTTATTTATGCAAGTTTCTGCTTTTTTCTACTATTTCAGCTATTATTTAGCTGTTTTATGCCAATTTTAGCTTTTTTGGCTAATTCCACATTTCTTGCACTCATTTAAACTTTTTTCAGCCTAATTCAGCAAAACGTATGTTGTCGCCACTTTATTCTGGTAATTTAAGCTTCTTTCTACATTCTTAGCTACCGTTACTTTTCAGCTGTTTTTTGCTTATTTTGGCTTTTTTCAAATAATTTCCACTTTTTTGTGCTCATTTCAGCTTCTTTCAGTCTAATTGGGAAAACATGTTCTTTCTGCTTTCTTCTGCTAATTCAAGCTAGTTCTACCTGTTCAGCTACCTTTTTAGCATTTTAGCTAATTTGAGCTGTTTTCAGATAAAGTCAAGTTTTTTGTGGCATTTTCTGCTACTTTCAGCCCAATTAAATTCTTTCTGCTAATTTCAGCTTGTTGTGCTTCTTTCAGCTTTTTTCCTGCTAGTTTCAGCTTTTCAGCTACATTTTAGCTGTTTTTGTGCTAAATTTAGATTTTCCAGCTATCCACACTTTTGGAGCTCTTCTCAGCTCCTTCCACTTCCTTCTGGTAGTTTAAGCTTCTTTCTGCATTTTCAGCTACTTTTCAGCTATTTTTTTTTTTCTAATTTCAGCTTTTTTTAACTAATTTATGAATTTTTGTGCTCATTTCTGCTTATGTAAACCCAATTCGACAAATATGTGTTCTTTATGCTTTCTTCTGCTAACTTAAGCTTGTTCTTCCATTTCAGCTACATTTAAGCATGTTTTAGTTAATTTTGGCTGTTTTTTAGCAAGTTCTGCAATAGGCACTCTGAATTCACTGCATTTTTGCAGGAAATGCAATTTCTAGTTCAATTTGTTATCAGCTGTCATATATTTAGGTAAAAATGAGTCAAGTCTGCAAAATAAAATTCTAAAGTATTGTATATATTTATGTCATTACTACTACGCTTTTCAAACTATTTTTGTATGACTTTATTTCAAGTATTTTTTATACTTCCCAGTTTTTTCATGCTCAAATGAAAAATGCACTTTAAGAACTGCTGGATGGAAATGCAATCAATTATTTACAAATATTTTTATTAGTTCCAAGCTTCTGATCAATAAAAGGAAAACTAAATACTTATCATCTAAACCCTGTATCGTACGTCTTCTTTACCCCTGAAGGAAACTTGGAACTGCGGGACAGAAACTCGGGGGATCTGCAGCTCTGTGTCACATTCGGCATGACCCCACTGACCCCGGTGGCTGCTTCACACTCACAGCTGCTAATGTGGGAAAGTGTCAAGCCATCTTGTGTCGGGATGGAAAGCCGATGTCCCTGTCACTGATTCACAACGTGGGGCTTGAGGATGAATACCGTCGGATCAGGCAGTACAGAGCTATCATCACTGAGGTAAAAAAAAAAAAAACAGCCCCGTGTTCACTGAAGTAGTTTGATGCAGATGTGTTTTTAGCTCTGCACTGAGCGAGTGTATTGAACTGTTTAATCCTTTTCTTCAGGACAACAAGGTGAATGGGGTGACTGATTCAACACGGATTATGGGCTACTCCTTCCTTTACCCCTCCGTCATTCCGTGTCCCTACGTTCAGACTGTCACTCTGACCCCTCAAGATGAGTTCTTCATTCTGGGTAGCCGGGGCCTGTGGGATGCTGTGTCTCCCACCGAAGCCGTGGAGGCCGTTCGGAACGTCCCCGACGGCCTGGCTGCTGCTAAGAAGCTTTGCACACTGGCACAGGGATATGGCTGCACCGACAGCCTGAGCGCCGTCGTTGTCCAGCTCAGTGTGAGCGAAGACTGCTGCTCCTGCTGCTGTTCCGAGCATCCTCAGCCTCCCCCCAGCCCTGGTTTGGGCCCCTATCCTCCATCGTCCTCTGCCATGAAGGATCGACCCTCGGACGGCTCCCTTGTTGTCCCCCCTTCCTCCTGCAGTGAAATCAGCAGTGAGATCAGCACCAGCGAGATGAGCAGCGAGGTGGGTTCGACAGCCTCATCTGACGAGCCTCCACAGAGCTCCTTGGTGCTGCTGCAGGAGCAGCCGCATCACGCCCACCTCCATCTGCACCAGCAGGCTCATTTGCTGTCCTTACAGCACCAGCAAGCCCAAACAACCACGCAGCCATGCCAGTATCTGCTTCCAGGTTCAGAACTGCCTTCTGCTCGCAGCTGCTGCGCTCTTCATCCTGCCTGCCTGGCAGGCTCCTTTCAGAGGCAGCTGTCTAGCGCCACCTTCTCCAGCGCCTTGTCTGACAACGGGCTGGACAGCGAGGACGAGGAGCCCATTGCTGGTGTGTTTTCCAACGGGAGTCGAGTAGAGGTGGAAGCAGACGTTCACTGCCTGAAAGCAGAGTTGTCTTTGCTGTCATCATCACAAACATCTGCACCTTCATCCTCCAGCCAGGAACGCGCCCTGCTTATGCTTCCTCCTCCACCTCCACCGCCAAGCACTCCAGAGCCCCTAGAGGAAGACACAAACCAGGGGGACGCTGAGAACGGGCTTGAGCGGGATGAGTCATGGCAAGGTGTCGGCGACGGTGGCAAGTTGGCGAGCAAGAGGAGAGTTAATGGTTCGGTAGCGCGCCAGGAAAAAAGTCACAACCTTATTGAGGTGGCAGCTGACGCTCCCTCTAAGAAACCCGGAGGTTACTTCACCGCTCCCGCCCAGCCCGACCCAGACGACCAGTTCATCATCCCGCCCGAGCTGGAGGAGGAGGTGAAGGAGATCATGAAGCAGCATCAGCAGAAACAGCAGAAATCCACAGGGACGGATCAACCCGCTGACTACTACGACACGCCCCTCTGAACAGCAGCACAGTCACCTACAGCCTCGTCTCATCCTGCGAGCCCATTTATGCTCACAAACAAGTGGGCTTCCTTGGGAGGCTGTAAAATGCACATTAGTTTCATCCAGCTTCCATGCCCTGCACAGCCTAGTCTTTGAAGAAACATGCACTACAGCACTGAGAGAGAGAGAAACAAGCAAACGAGCCCTTTAATGATATTCAACCTTAATGAATTGACGCAGATCCTCTGTGTCTTATCCTTCACACAGACTGGAACTTTATTTTTTACTGTAGACAACCAGCTGAGTATGTAATCAACACTATTGTATTTGCAATAGCATTAGCTTGCCACAATACCTACGATGGGTAACAACTCCACGTTTTCTTTTGTTTTGTAAGAACTTACCATATCTTGTAATGTGAAAGCAGAGAAGTTTTTGGAAGAACCTTTTGAAAGCAGAGACGCGTTATCTTTTTATTATCAGTGAGCGATGGTGAATGCTACGCCATTAACACCACACTAAACTGTTGTAGATAGGGCACTTAAATACTGTATTTCTTCAGTAAATCATGGCACTTGGCCTGTAAAATGATCTAGAAATTTTTTGTAGAAATTTCCTATACTAACTCCTAGGAGTTGCATACTCTTTATGGTGACTCAGTCACTTTTACTAATCTTCTCTGAGAGAAATGGTGATTCTTTTTTTTTTTTTTTTTTCTCAATGATTGTAAATAAGAGAAATGTTGTATACTGATGCTTTTAAAGGAACTGCAGAGCTGTATGTCGGTGAAGGTTTTAGTGGTTGGGAGGATGCTTTGTTTGACGTTATGGAGGTGCCACCCCACCCCCCTTTATATTACAGTCTAGGCCCTAAACACACACACGCACACGCCTACAAACAAATGTAAATGTGCAATCGCAGGATAGAAACATTCCAAACTATTTTTCTGCACTAAGTTGCTATGGTTTGTTTCACATTGTTTAGTTGTAATGTTCTGTAGTCATCACTATATCTATTTAACACTAAAAAAAAAAACTTTGCATGCACACACACACACACACACACACTCAGCCATAACATGCACAGACACACATTCTCACAGGTTATTAGTCACACCTCCCTCCTACAGTAACTGTTATCACCGGCATGACTGTGTCTAGTTCAGTAATACCAACAAATATATCCACATGGAAAAGAACACATGTTCCCGTCTTTGCTATAATAAATTTTAAATTTGTGAATTTTAAACAAAGTTGTCTGAGATTTTATTTTATTTATTTTTGGAGCAAGTTGTTTTCAGATTGTTGGAGTCAGACATTTTTTTTTTTTTTTAATTCAGACTAGAAACAACTATTCACGTAATACATCTCATGTTTTACTTCATGTGACCAGCAGGTGGCACTCCATTATAATGTTAAATTCAGCATTTTATCAATAAAAAGTTCACTTTCTTATTAGAGTCTATTTTCAGTCTGCACATTTCCCAGAGTTACACCATTCTCAAAGGCACGCTTCTTAAACTTCTTCTTCACACAGATGACGCTGACTACTGTAATCACCAGCATTACTCCCAGTACAGACAGAGAGGAGGCCAGTGCAAGAGTGGTTTTGTCTTGTAGGGACCCTTTGTGCTGACAGCTGTTCCCATAGTACCACCAGTCATTGCCCACCGCACACCTGGAGGATAAAAAGAACAAGAGAAAAATAAGATTTGAAAATCTTTCCTGTATATTAAGAATGCAGGCGCGTTTGCTGATAAATATAAGAATTAAATGTAAGCAAACAAGATAAATGGAAAACTTTTTAGCTTATAAAGTAGCTGCTTTGAAACCCTGTAATTAAAAAAAAATAATAATTTAATGTTCCAGAATAATCAAAAACACTTCTGTTGAGAAATAAATACACACTAGTGCTGTGAATTATTGTGCACTACCTCTAAAATTATGTGTAATACTTGACAAGTACATTTTACACATTTAAAGTACCATACAACTGGTTACATTTTAGCTCTTGACATAATGATAGGATCATTTTAACTGGAGCCAAGTACATCTACTTAAAATAAGTGTCGTAATCGTCATTAGCTGCTAGTAATAATATAGGCTAACATAACCAGAAGAGCCTTGAACGCATCCCATTGCTCTCATTAACAGTGCAGAGTAACATGCAAAAGTGTGGACACATTTGTTTTAAATAAAAAGTTAACAGATTACTTGATTTAAAAAAAGGTACAAAACTCATAAACCTCATCTATGTTCTTGTTTAAAACAGGTCTCTCTTGTAAATGAGTCATTGAGGCTCAATGAGACTAACCTGTAGAAATAAAGGTTGAACTGAACTGAATTGAAAAAAAAAAGACAGTTTTAAAGGGAAGATTACATTAAATTTTTGTATTTCAGTTTCAAAATAGTGCAACGTTTGGGATTGCTCATAAGTACTCTTTGCAATGCACTACAGTTTGTAAATATTTTATTATTGCTAGATTCTTGTCTTTTAGTTTTTGTTTGGGAGATTTTTGTCTTATACGCCCATCGAGAGGCGGATGTATTTTAGTCTCGTCTCAGTCCGTACTGTATATGTTCATAAAAGTTTTCTTGTCCAGGCCATAACTTTTGAACCACTTCAGATAGTTTAACAAAACTTCATACACATGCATCATCACTAGATGGAGTGATGCATAAACTTTCATCCCCCCAGCTCCAAGATCAAGGTCACAAATCAAAGTCAAGGGTCCTGCAGGTCTTTGCTTGTCTGGGCCATTGCTATAGATTGCTGTAAAATAGTTTGTCGGTGAGTGTATAATGTGCATATTTTGATTTCTCAAAGTTTTCCTGATCTATAAGAGTCTGGATTCCTTTGCATGCAGAGTAGAAGTCACACTTTATTATCTACATATAAAATCTAATTCTAATTCATGTTTCCCCTCTAGCATTCTTTAAAGGAAACAATGGTGTAATTGCCATTTTTGTCAAGCCCTGAAAATAACATTAATGTGTAACGTCACGCAATATAACAATAATGTTACACTCAGAGCACGTGTTGAATGACTCTCAGCTACTACCACAACACATTTTGGCACACTATCTGTTGAACATGACAGTCATTTTTATGCTGGCTAAAATTAATTAGCTGTGGTGGCCATATTGAATAAGATGGAATAGGATATAATGTTAATCAGTTTTGGATGTACATTCGTTAAATGGTTATTGAGATATTTTTCTAACAGCAAGACAAATTTCGCTTTAGTAGTTATTGGCAAAATTGAAAACAAAAGATCTTGTTAGATTTGTTAGTTTTCAGAATATGTGATGGGGATCACTTTTGGTGACTACCACACCAATCTATAAGTAAAATTTGTCAAACGAACTAACTCATAGCCATTTGTGTGTTTTAAGTCAGTTGGGTATGGCAGCCTCCTTGAATCAGGATGATTCCAAAAATTAATCAGGTGCAAATGTTCATCAAATAATTATTTTCTGCAAGTTTCATTAAACTTCATCCTATGGTTCCAAAAAATGTTGGTAAAAGAGACACAGGCAAACACATTAGTTTGCCTTTAGCTTTCAGTGGCAGGTGATAATGAGTTTTTTCTCCTTTTTTTTAACGATTATTCTACTTTTCATAGAAGCAAGTCTTGAGGTAAACCAAAATCACATTTGAATCAGATGGTGTTTAGTGTTCCAGCTTTATGTCTCTTCTGTAACTCACCCCGCTCTTTATTGTCCACGTATCACTTCATTAAAAGTTTGTACCTGCAAGCTGCTTTGCCTTCGTCTACGATGCAGACGCCGTCGTTCTGACACTGCACATTGAGGCACACATCAGAGGGGGCTGTAGTTCCAGGTTTTGAGGTTGTCATAGGTTTTGTGGTGGAAGGCACTGGTTGTGTCGCTGTCAAATGGGACACATCTTGAAGACAAAACAAACAAATAAAATCTAGGAGCTATTTGGTTTGTGCAGTTCTGATGTCAAAGATAGAGAAGATGGCAACAAGATGCATGTGGTCTCTCTAAAAGCTAAGAATGAGCTTTTCAGGCAAGGAGGTCTGTTGAGTTTAAACTGTAATTTGTTACTTTTACCTTCCATGGTGAGAAGAAAGATGGCGTCTCCTCCCTTGATAAAATCTCTGCTTCTGGCTCTTAAGTGGGTGAGATATACTGCAGTTCCTGAGCCGGGGCCGCGGAAATACTTGGATCCATCAGTATCTGTGACCTCAACACCAATCTTACGAGGATCATCCCAGAAAAACTCATCAGAATCTGATAAGAAGAAGAATATTTTATTTTAGCTGTGAGTGACTAAATTTACAAATTCTTTCCAATTTTATGTATTTGAATATTTTTGGTTGTGGAAAAACTACAAAGCTGCACCTGCTGCCTTTTTGTCGGGGTCGGTTGTGACACTACGCTGATTGGACATGCGTTTCTGAATATGTGGGTGCTGGTCCATTAACATCATGGTTATCTGTTTCCAGGGACATGGCCAGGTTTGCCCCGTGTCCCCTTCACGAGCCACAAGGTGAGCGTAGGCCGACAGCTCCCCGGAGTAGCCCTCCTTTCCATTGGGGTAGAGCTTCATCTGGAAGGTGTAACCTTCCTTTGAGGTGAATGGAGGGCTAAAAATCGACATATCTGTTGGAGAGCTTTCCAAAAGATGGGTGAAGTTTTTCACTTGCCAAATAAACTCTGGGCAGGTGGTTTCAGAAAGGTTGATGTCATCCAGGGACAGTCCCCCCGCTGAAGGCCCGGAGCCCTCCCTGGTCCCTTGAAAAACGAAGCGGAATTTTGTTTTGACATCTAGACTCACATGGTGCAGCTGCCACAGCTCCTGAGGGGGTCCTGTTCCCAAAAAAACAAATTAATTATAAATAAATGAATTAAACACTCAATTTAGCAAATACATAACGGTCAGAGTTCATCTACAGAACTCCCAAACCAAGAAACAGCATGTTTTGCAACAATGTTGTGTGAATTTTTAGTGCTAATGACTGCTGAAATTTATTAAAAAGAAATTTAAACTATGCTTTTAATACTACAAGAAGCTGAAGACTAGATACACGACAAAAGAAGTAAAACACTAAAAGTAAAAACAAAGTTAGCTAAAAGTCAATGCAGCAATAAAATAAATAACTGTAGTAAAATAATAAGCTAAATGTAGTAAAAGTCTATATACAAAAAACAAAATCCATGATAAAAGTTAAAAAAAAAAGCAAAAGGCCAGCTAAAAGCAGCATAATGCCATTTATAAGTTAAAAGTAGCAAGAAGGTAGCGAGAAGCTAAAAAAATTAGCAACACATTAGATAAAACAGCATATATGCTCCATGTTGCAAAAGGCTAGCTAAAAGTAGCCAAAATCTGACAAGAAGCTAAAAGAAGCAAAAAGCTCGCAAAATGGAAAAACTGGAAAATGTTGCTACAACTAGCAAGTAGAAAAGTAGAAGAAATCTAGCTGAAACTGAAAAGGAGAAAAAAGGCTGGATAAAAGTAGCAAAACAAAAAAAAAGTAGGAAGAGGTTAGTGAAAGGCTAAATATAGCAAAATGTTCAGTAAGAGCTAAAAGGAGCAAAAGGCTGAGTAAAAACAAAAAATTCAAATGTTAAACGTAGCATTAGAAGACAAAATATGTTAAAGCATTTTATCAAAAGTACAACATTTTTCTGAAGGAATTTTAAAAGTTTTTGAGAACTTAATGTATTTTTATGGGAAAAAAAACTGAACAAAAATATAAACTCAACACTTTTGTTTTTGCTCACATTTTTCATGAGCTGAACTCAAAGATCTATGGTAAGTCTTTTTCTATGTACACAATACACTACTCTCAAATATATAGTGCTATGTGATAAAACTGCACATTTCAGAGTTTTAGATCTTTGAGTTCAGCTCATGAAAATTGGGAACAAAACCAAAAGTGATGTTTATATTTTTGTTCAGTGTTTTTGTAAATCAAGTTAACTATTATAATATGTATAAAAAGTAAAAACCAAAAGCCACAACCGTTTCCTGAATGCGCTGAATGATTTGATATACAATATGATGGGTTAAATATAAGCACAAAGTATACAAAAGTACCAGTAGTTAGAATGCAATTATTATTTTTTTTTAAGTACAAAATATACAATTCAAGAAAATAAAAGTGTGAGTGCTGAATCACCGTCTATAGTTTTTATAAAGCGCAGAGTTCCTTCGGGGTTGGCTTTGTCGTACTCTCTGACAAAGATCTTCAGCGTGTCGCTGGGATGTGCACTGTTGTAGTAGAAGAACTGCAGACACTGGTAACCTCTTTTAGGATAAAGGATCCTGCTCTCCAGCACAGCTGTGTCTCCAGTGTTGGCTGTTCCAGTGCTGAAGTGCATGAAGTACCCCGATCCTAAACAGATAAATGTCATGAATTAATAAAGCCAATATTCATAATTGCATCGCAGATGTTTTGATGTTGCTAATTACTGACGAACTAAACTAAATAAAGAGCCCATATTATCCATAAGTACAGCTTTGGAATTATATTTTTGTGTCTATCAGTAATAAGGAGAAATGTCTGTTTTCAGTTTATATCCTCCTGACTCCTAAATTTATTACAAATAAAAAAAAAGAAAGTAAAATTTGATATAAACTTTATTTAAAAAAAATTCTAAAGTCGTTCACATGGCTTCATTTCTGTAAAATATTTCTGTTTGACGTGCTCTCCTTCAGTTTCAGTGAGCACCTACACCAAGAAAACTAAAAGGAACGCTGTGATTTTTGACTGTACACATGGAAATATGACTTATTCAGAAATGTTTTGTTTCTTTTTCTTCTACTTAGATACATAATATGTTTGAATATTGTGTCAGAGCCTCCTAAGATTCGTGTCACCTGTGCATTTGCCCATGTTGGAGTAGTCTGTGTCTGGCCCTCCTGCAGCTTCAGAGACCCTGACCCAGTCGGCCTTATCCTCTCGCCCCTGGATCATTCCACAGATGTTTTCACGCTCAAAGTCGCAAGAGTCCAAGAAGGTGGAGCCTTGAGCTAGAAGACAATTCATAAACACTGGTGGAATACTCTGAACTGCAATAAACTGCTTCATTACATTGCTGCTGGTATTTTACTGCATCTATAGAATCCCATCCGCTTTGTTCACAAACGATTAGAATAACTGTATTGCAGCGTTCATGTGAGCTACAGCTTGACCATAAGCACAGACTGGTTGTTGAAGCTTACTGCAGTTATACAGGTGGTTCAGCTTGAGCAGATCACTGTCACTGAACTCCATCCGCTGGCCAATGACGTCGCTGAAAGCAGGGATCTTTGTGACGATGGTGGGCTCAGTGCCATTACGGAAAGCAGTTTTGCTGTAGTGCATCATGGAGCCGTAGTCGTAGGGTATGCCCAAAGAGCTGGAGGTGGTGTCGTCGTAGGTGTTAAAGTTGTGTTCCTTACCTGCAGGTCAGACACACAGTACATCAGAAAACTATTTTATATTGTGTTTATTATTTATTATCAAAAGTTCTTGCGTAAAATGTGGAGGGGTGGGTTTCATAAACGCTTTCGCTCATGTAGTTTGTTTTCAGCACAGGTGTTTGAACTCTTGACAGACTAGTGCTGACGAATCATAACCCATTGTACTTTGATTACAGACTTTAATAAAAGATTTATTTGATGAGCATAGGTCACTGATGTATGGATAAGGATGTATCTTTCGCTTATCTTGTTAGGATTTTAGCCATCGAAACAACTCTTTCACACGCTTATCACACATGCTGTAAAAAAGGTGCCACTCCTAAAGATTTCCATCCATCCATCCATTTTCTTTACCCGCTTATTCCATTTCGGGTCACGGGGGTCGCCGGTGCCCATGTCCAGCAATCACTGTGCGAGGGGCGGGGTACACCCTGGACGGGTCGCAAGTCCATCACAGGGCCACACAGAGACAAACGAGACAAACAACCATTCACTCTCTCACTCACACCTAGGGACAATTTAGAGTTACCAATCAGCCTAACATGCATGTTTTTGGACTGTGGGAGGAAACCGGAGTACCCGGAGAAAACCCACGCATGCACGGAGAGAACATGCAAACTCCACCCAGAAAGGCCCCTGGACCGGGGTTTGAACCAAGGACCTGCTCGCTGAGAGGCAGCAGCTCTACCAGTTGCGCCACCGTGCTGCCCTCTAAAGATTTCATTCAGAATTTTTTAATATATTTTTAAAACTTCAATTAAACCTTTTAAGAGGTCAGTAAAGTACACTGTGTTATTATGTTATATACAGTAGCTTTGTTTCGTATTGTATTGTATTGTATTGTATTGTATCATATATCATATTGTATTACCATATTTTTCAGCCTATAAGTCCTTTTTTTGTGTGCATAATTTGCATGCCTTGCGACTTACAGGCCGAAGCAACATATTTATAGAGTTTTTCCCATATTCATAAATCATTTTTTAGCTGATATATTCTGAATGAAAAAAGTTGAACACTACCATTTTCAGCCACTAGATGGCACTCGAGTAGTAAGGCATGCCATTATATCATGTAACAGATAAAAGTGTCTATTAGTGACACAATTGGCTTGCCATAGTCTGCCACCATTGTCTGCCTGGAGCAACCAAATCAGCTTAATTTCGCTGCGTCGCCCCGGCGAAATGCAGCTGATTTGACCATCAAAGTGCATTTATTAAGCAAAAGTTTAACTGGGACACCGGTGACCCATAATAGATGTGACATATACGATTGGACATATTTGGACTGATACGACTTATAAGGCGGTGCGACATGTACGGTGGAAAATACGGTATATTGTATATGTGGCCCATCATAACAAACCAGGAATTAAGTCATTTTTGGTCAAACTAAATTAAGCACATTTTCACATTACGTTTTTTTTAAGCTACAATTTCATCCTCATATCATAAGCAGTTCCAGACATATGGTTTAACTCCACTTGCTAATCGGGAATATCCCTGACTAATCTGTCTGAATCCTATTTTTAGCATGTTCTACTGAGGATTTCTTGATTTAATTTGAAAGAGGAAACCTCAAACCATATTTGGATATCAGGATTTCTCAACGTACTGAAAGTAGCTTCACTAGCCTGCAGAGAAGATGAAAAACTTCAGGGCTTCTGCTCAAAATCATAAGTTCGTAATGTTCATAAACATGCATCAAAACATTTTTATGATTATATTTTCAACTTTTCTTTCAAGGAACCTATAGATAAAGTATTTATTCATTTAATTTAGACAAAACCCAATTTTTTTAACCCAAACAGTTCTTTAACCAATGCACTTTAACTGCCTACATCTTTAAATACCACCCTGTTACTTAATACTCAGTTCAATGATGGGTCTCATATAATGTTCTATCATTTATCATATTGTACTGTATCATATATCATTTTGTATTTTACCAAAGTTTATGTCAAATCAGGTGAAAATTATAAACATTCATTGTCAAATATAAAATTTAGTATTTTTATATTATGACATGAATGAATGCACAGGTAAAGACGTATGTACCCAGTATATACATATTTTCTTTGTTTTGTTTGTTACACATGCATATGCTTAAATGAACATTTTGCACAACTGTTGCTGCTAAAAGGGACTGAGTGTACTTTATTTTAGATTTGTTTTATGCTTATGCTTATAAAATTGCATTATTATTGGTATCAGTGTCCCTGCTAAGAGATTGCTGCCAAACTAAGTTTGTTTGTACTCCTGTACAATCACAATAAAGCTTCTTCTTCTATTTTATATTGTTATATAATATAAATTATCATATCTTATTGTGTCATTTATCATGTTTTGTTTGTGTATCATATTGTACTTTGTTGTATCGTAATGTATAACATGAAGTATTTTATTGTATATAAGTTCTTATTGTATCTTAATTTATTGTACAACATATGGTAAACATATTATATTGCATTGCATTGTATTTCATTATAATTTATTAACAATAATATAGACTCAGAAATTGTAAAAAGGATGCAAAATAAACTATTCATTACCTTCTGAGATGTGGTCCCACATAATTTTGACATAGTCATCTCGGTCTGATCTGGACTGCTCATGCCAGAACCCCAGAGCATGAAGGAACTCGTGTTCTATGGTGGCGATGCGGTCACAGTTGGTTCCTATCGACAATCTCTGCTTCCCAATTCGCCGATTACCAACAGAGGAGAAACAGCTTTGGGAGGGAAAACGAGGCTTTCATGAACACCAGATAGAATCTGCAGTGTCTTATCTCAAAGGTGTTACTTGTGTACAGGATTTAAAATGCTTTAATCCCTCAGTGAGCACAGTTTGTATCACATTGTAAACACACTCTAAAAATGAGTTATTCTGAGTTTTACCCGTCCCCTTTAAAGATGGAAATGTAGTTTTCTTCTCCACTCCATGGCTTGAAGTCGATGCAGGTCTTGAGGCGGTACTGCTCAAAGGCCTTCAGAATCACACCTTTTGCATTGATCTCTTCAAAATAAAATGCAAATATAAACAGGTCTATTAAAGTTTGAAAATCATTTTAGTCCGTTTTAAGGATAATTTGCAAAGAGACCTCGTTGAGTAAATTCAGATGAGATGAAACCTGATCACGTAACTCGTGTTTGTGCTCTTAGGCTCAGCTGTTAATGGCGGTCATCAAACATTAAACACTGCTGCCGTGTACTTTGACATGGCTCTAAACTAAACTAGTATATCATTTTGCATTAATGTAAGATTGTTTACTGTAACTTAAACAAAAACGTATTTTATTTGCTAAAGGGCCAAAAAAGTCACAAGTTATGTTTGAATGCTCCACAGATTGTTTCTAAGCATAAACGGCCTGAGGAAGTGAAGGTAAACATCAATTTAAATGGCAGGCTAAGCATTTGCTTGTACCTTTCACATGAAGTATTTAGGAGCACTTAGATAAATTAATGTGGGGAAAAAAATATTAAAACAAAGCCCAGGAAAATTAATTTACTGCACATTTTTACAATATTACTCTAGTTTAGCTAGCTTTTTTTTTTTTTTACCTAAGTCATCTTCCATGTAGTAAGGAATGGTTTTTGGCCACCGGTACTCATCTCCTATGATGGAATTTCGGCTTTGATCCTGCAGGAACAATTAAAAACAATCACAAAGTCGTGAGTTTGCACTGAGCTCTACAAAAATTAAGCTGTGCGGATGAAAATGAAAAAAAATAAAATAATCATGAACATACCCCATGAATCACGATGTCGCCCTCTACCAGATTCAGCCCTGCTTCTGCGGAGGGGATAGAGAAAGCAAACCAGTTTAAAAGATAACCCAGAGATATATCAAATAAACTTAAACCTTTCTTTTTTTACACACCTTCATTAATGTCAAAAATGTCAAGGTCTCGTCCATAATCTACATCCAAATCTGTACAAAAACAGCAGTAAGTCAACCGAAAGCGACTCCATTGCAGAATAAAAACTGCAGGTAGCTTGAGATAAAGGCTTACCTGGAATCTGTGGCGTGGGTTAAAAGATATCAAATTAACAGATAGATGTATTTTTATGAATATTTGAAGTATACGAATCAATTTAAAACTTATCACACAAAAACAATTTCTTACCAAGCAAAGAGTAGAAGCACAAAGGAGGCATGAAATGTGAAGTAAAAGCACAACTGTAGGTTTTTTCCCTGCCATGTCCAAATATGTATTTACAGATGGAACGTACCGAACTCCGACATGCGATCTGGAGGCATTTTAGTGATAAAGTATCCATGTTCACAAGTCAATAAGTGACAGAGTCATAAAGGTTCTGGGTTATACAGCAACTTGAACACTCCACTAACTGTTAAGAAATCTTAACACCCTGCGAGGGGCACAGATAATGTCCCAAAGAGTATGTTAAAAAGATATGGTTTATCTGTCTAATTATCCTTAATAATGAGGCACCTGATAAATGAAGTCTCAGTTTCACTACTTTCTGACTAATCCTTTGCATGTTTAAGCCGTGAGTCAAAGTTTGTGGTTTCTTGTTTTTAGGACCAGCGCACAATAGATGCAAGTTTGTTGTGCGACTTCTGTTTGATTCTATTACTGTAGCGTAGTAAAGTAATAACTTTTTAGTTGTTCTTGCTTATTAACTCTCAGAAATCTCAAAGGTTGTACAACAATGTACTCTCCCTCCTCTCTGCTCTCCATCCAGGACTCAAAAATCCTATTTAATTCAAACTACTAAACCTTTTATCCTTGAAAACTTATGCTTAGACTCAAGGCAGTAAGTTTAGCCAATTTAGCATCATTTACTTTCCCTATGTTTTGGATTTCTGAACATGTCAGGACAATAACTGATGCTTATATCTAAAAGGGCACAGTTGCAGTGAAGTGCTCAGCTGAATTTCAGACACGTGTCATTACATTGCAACGGCTTGCACATTATTCTTAAAGAGTAAACTAAAAGCATTCTGTGGTAAAAAACTGCATTAGAAAACACACACAAGCAGGCTTTTAGACTTCTATTATTTTCTCTTGTGAAATTGTAGTGATAATGGAGCAACAATAGTTTCTGTATTTGCACAAGGACCAGAACCCTTCTTGGTAATCTACTTTAAAAAGTGTGGCCTGTTTCATCTTCATCACTCTTCCACGCGCTCCTCTCTCTATCAAACTCATCAATGCTGGCTGATGTAAAAGTTTGCTTTCTTAGATTCTCTCAGCTGTATCGATGTGCTGATAAATAAATGTGGGAGATGAAGATAAATGTGTGGGAGTTCCTGTTTTCAATTCAATTCAAATCAAAAATACTTTATTAATCCCAAAGGGAAATTATTTGTTGTTGTATCTCATTATCCTCATTTCATTAAGAGATGTTATAGATGCTGATGGCTGTAGGCAGGAAGGATCTCTTGTAAATATCCTGATGCATGCTCAATAATCCAGGTAGAAAAATCCAAAAAAGTTCAATCTGGTCCTCTGGACATTCAAAAAAAACAAAAAACAAAACAAAGCAAAAAAATGTAGAAACGTTTTGTCTCTCATCCAAGAGACTTCCTCAGTCTGAGGTGCTGTATTCAGCTCAGTCTCTTAAATAGCACCGTCTCAGAGTGGATCAACCATTTTGCTGCTGACAACCAAAACCAGCTGATCACATGCTCAAGAAGGACCATCAGCCTAACAATGGATCATTAGCACACTGATGGCTGTTTACTACTCACAGAGGGTTGAGTGATACTAGCAATCACAGCATTGTAAGAGGGGGACAGTTGAACCCGGAGGCCTCCACCCCTGTTTAATGATGGACTGTTTCTTTTCACAAAGATGGCCTCCTTTACTCCTCTCTCAAACCATCGTTCCTCTCTGTCCAGGATGTGAACATCTTCATCCCTGAAAGAGTGACCGCTGGCCTGGAGATGAGTGTAGACCGCAGAGTCCTGGCCTGATGATGTTGATCTTCTGTGCTGGGCCATCCTTTTGGCCAGTGGCTGTTTAGTTTCCCCGATGTAAGACTGATCACAGCCCTCCTGACACTGAACAGCATACACAACATTACTCTGTTTGTGCCGGGGGACTGGATCTTTGGGATGAACCAGTCTTTGCCGTAATGTATTTTGGGGTTTAAAAGCCACTGGGACGTTATGTTTAGAAAATAAACGTCTCAGTTTCTCTGATACTCCCTCAACATACGGAATGACCACTGGTCTGGGTCTGGGTTCCTCCTTTTCACCTGTTGGCTGACTGGAGTCCTGTTTGGGTTTCTTCTCTGCTTTCAGGAAGGCCCAGTTAGGATATCCACATTGCTCTAGAGCCTGTCTTGTGTGGGATTTCTCCTTCTGCCTGGCTCCTGAGCTAGTGGGGACGCTGTCTGCTCTGTGGTACAGAGTCCTGATGACTCCTAACTTGTGCTCCAAAGGGTGATGGGAGTCAAACTGCAAATACTGGTCTGTGTGGGTGGGTTTGCGGTACACCTCAGTTTGCAAATGTCCTCTATCAGAGACTGAAACCTCACAGTCCAAGAAAGCCAACCTGCCATTTTTTACATCTTCTCGTGTGAACTTGATGTATTTATCCACAGAGTTGATGTGGTCAGTAAAATGTTGGACTTCCTGAGATTTAATTTTAACCCAGGTGTCGTCAACATACCTGAACCAATGACTTGGTGGTGTCCCTGAAAAGGACGTCAAGGCTCTCTTTTCTACCTCCTCCATGTACAGGTTGGCAACAATAGGAGAAACTGGAGACCCCATAGCACACCCATGTTTCTGCCTATAATATTGCTCCCCATATGTGAAGTACGTTGACTGCAGGCACAGTTTCAAGAGTTGACACAGTTGTTCTGTGGAAAGCATGGTCCTGCTGCTCAGAGTGGTGTCTGATTTTAATCTAAAACTGACCACCTCTACTGCATCATCAACAGGAATGCATGTAAAGAGTGAAGTGACATCAAAATAAACCATTGTTTCATCAGTCTCCATGATGACATCCCTCACCTTATCCACAAAGTCCAGAACACCATGGACTTTGTGGATAAGGTGACCGCTCTTTTCAACCTTTTGCCACATTTCAGGCTTCAAACATAAAGATATAAAATTAAAAATTTTTGTGAAGAATCAACAACAAGTGGGACACAATTGTGAAGTTGGAATGAAATTTATTGAATGTGTCAAACTTTTTTAACAAATAAAAAACTGAAAAGTGGGGCGTGCAATATTATTCGTCCCCCTTGCGTTAATACTTTGTAGCGCCGCCTTTTGCTGCAGTTGCAGCTGCAAGTCTCTTGGGGTTTGTCTCTATCAGTTTTGCACATGGAGACACTGAAATTCTTGCCCATTCTTTCTTGCAAAACAGCTCGAGCTCAGTGAGGTTGGATGGAGAGCGTTTGTGAACAGCAGTCTTCAGCTCTTTCCACAGATTCTCGATTGGATTCAGGTCTGGACTTTGACTTGGCCATTCCAACACCTGGATACGTTTATTTGTGAACCATTCCATTGTAGATTTGGCTTTATGTTTTGGATCATTGTCTTGTTGGAAGATAAATCTCTGTCCCAGTCTCAGGTCTCTTGCAGATTCAAACAGGTTTTCTTCCAGAATGGTTCTGTGTTTGGCCCCATCCATCTTCCCATCAATTCTTCCCTGTCCCTGCTGACGAAAAGCAGGCCCAAACCATGATGCTGCCACCACCATGCTTGACAGTGGGGATGGTGTGTTCAGGGTGATGAGCTGTGTTGCTTTTATATCATATCACATATCATATCATATAACATATCGTTTAGCATTGTGGCCAAACAGTTGGATTTTGGTTTCATGTGACCAGATCACCTTCTTCCACATGTTTGGTGTGTCTCCCAGGTGCTTGTGGCAAACTTTAAACAACACTTTTCATGGATATCTTTGAGAAATGGCTTTCTTCTTGCCACTCTTCCATAAAGGCCAGATTTGTGCAGTGTACGACTGATTGTTGTCCTATGGACAGACTCTCCCACCTCAGCTGTAGATCTCTGCAGTTCATCCAGAGTGATCATGGGCCTCTTGGCTGCATCTCTGATCAGTCTTCTCCTTGTTCCAGATGAAAGTTTAGAGGGACGGCCGGGTCTTGGTAGATTTGCAGTGATCTGATACTCCTTCCATTTCAATATGATTGCTTGCACAGTGCTCCTTGGGATGTTTAAAGCTTGGGAAATCTTTTTGTATCCAAATCCGGCTTTAAACTTCACAACAGTATCTCGGACCTGCCTGGTGTGTTCCTTGGTCTTCATGATGCTCTCTGCACTTTGAACAGAACCCTGAGACTATCACAGAGCAGGTGAATTTATACAGAGACTTGATTACACACAGGTGGATTCTATTTAATATCATCAGTCATTTGGGACGACATTGGATCATTCATAGATCCTCACTGAACTTCTGGAGTGAGTTTGCTGCACTGAAAGTAAAGGGGACAAATAATATTGCACGCCCCACTTTTCAGTTTTTTATTTGTTAAAAAAGTTTGACACATCCAATAAATTTCATTCCACTTCACGATTGTGTCCCACTTGTTGTTGATTCTTCACAAGCAATTAAAATTTTATATCTTTATGTTTGAAGCCTGAAATGTGGCAAAAGGTTGAAAAGTTCAAGGGGGCCAAATACTTTCGCAAGGCACTGTATGCCAGCCAGCAGTGGAAGCTGAGGTAGAACAGCTCTGAAACCGACTGACTTACTGACTTAGAAGTATTTGAACATTATGCCTTAATTATCTGTATGGTTATTAGGATTTTATTTGCATGAGATTGTGGTGGAAGTAAGAGAAACACTGGCACACACTGACACAACTTCACACTAGAGTGTACTTTGTGCGGTCAAGCGGTGTCATAATCCCTGCTTTGGTGATTATCTATTGACGTTTTCTTGCTTCTGCTTTATATTACTTAAAGTGTGGTTTCATGAGACAAATGGAGCTAATGGAGCTGAACTGATACAGCTGAGCTGCAGCCAAAGTCTCTGAGACTGACCTGCAGCGATGAGGTCCACATATTTGCACAAAAAAACTTTTGTAAAACAAATAACTGGATTGTAATTATCTACACTATAAATGCAGCTGTTTTCTTTAAAATGGCAGTCCAATTCATATTTAAACCCATTCTAATTCATAAAAACTGAATGCTCATGTTCAAATACTTTGTG